CTTATAGTGCGAAGTTGAAGTCAAAGTTTACGGGTCCATATTATGTACACGATGTTTGTGGCAATGGTACATATAAACTACGAACGATAAGTGGAATAACAAAGGGTCAGCTTGGTAAAACAGAAAAAGTTCTTAAAAAGGCTGTGCATGGAAACCAGTTAAAACGATATGTAGAGTCTTCTGTATGAAGAAGCTCTTAAGCTTATAAATACGGTCTGAATTAACCTCTGTCCTCTTTAAAAGATGGAACCTTTTCAAGTGAGCGTGCCCATTCTAAAACTCCTTATTCGCCTGCAGAAGTATATTAAGGAGTCTTCTGTAGAATCTCTTTGTATTATCGATAGCACTATTGAATTTCTTGATAAACAAGGAGACCAGGTTCCTATTAATTTAGTACTAGAAATTAATGATGATTTATTGGAAACTCGTATGCCTCTAGTTATTGAGGATCTTCATCGAATCAGTGACCCTGCAAAAGAACTCTGTAAGATTGAAGGTACAAGTTGGAACCAACAAATGGATTATCTTTGTATTCAAATCCAACTCTGTCGATTAGATCGTACTATCTTGCTTCAGCATTATTATCAGTTGGGAGAAAGATTAGCGATATATAATTGGAGTGAAGAAGTTAAGAGAGAAATGAAGGATCGATTTACCTATTGAAGTTATAAAAATGTCTTGAGGATTACCCGTCGTGTTTATAGTCTTTATTACATACGTGGTGCCCATAATTTACTGACTACTTGTCATTTATCTACTAATATTTTATTAAAAATGAATATTGAAAATTTTAACATATTACTGGAAGAAGCTCGATTAGGGAGTCAAAAGAAAATTGAGCAATTGTTAGCGCTTGATTAGGTGTTTATAGGAGCTCATAGCTAACAATGGGGTATGTCACGCTTTTTCCTTGAAAATCGTGACTTGTAATAATGAGAACGTGTATACTGTAAGGCTGGGTTGTGGCGAAGGCTTAGAAGGTTCAGATCTGTACAAATAATTATTTTTCATCATCTTTGTTTATTTTATATCTATAGATTTCTTTTTATTTGTTTGTTATTTTAAGGCCCAGGGTTTGGGTCTGGAAAAGCTTAGAAATATATTGGTAAAATCGGCTTAGAGGGTTTAGCTCTAGACGGGCTAAGGTTGGATGAAAAGATAATGTTAGAACAACAAAGTATAGAGCTAAACTTTAGAAGTGAATTTTGTAGTAAGCCTTCCAAGTATTTTTGAAAGTATAAAAGAGCTGTCTTTTCGCTCTTCAAATAAAGCTTTAGATTTCATTGTCCTTAATATAGGAGTATTAAGAATTGATTTCTTGAATTGATGTTATATAAGTTTACCGTTGTATCATTATATTTATTTCCCTTAGTTTAATCGTGAAGATTCTTCACGATCGTATTATACATTTTCTTGTTAAGTACCCTATTACTCTATGACCTTATTACTTAATAAGTATCGACCTCTAATATTGGTTATATTGATTAACTATCGATATTACTGATTTATTTAATTACGCTTACATAAACTTGATTTATTTACCTGATTGATTACTGGTAGATATAATTAAGTGCCCGATCATGGATTAATTACGTAACCCACGTGTTTGAGTTATTACTATAATTGCATTTATTTATTAGTAAAATACCTTGAGTTCTCACAAAGA